ATTGTACCTGGTGAACCGGTTCAATGTGATAAGTCAAACAGAGAGTGTGTGTGTGTGTGTGTGTGTGTGTGTGTGTGTGTGTGTGTGTGTGTGTGTGTGTGTGTGTGTGTGTGTGTGTGTGTGTGTGTGTGTGTGTGTGTGTGTGTGAGAAACAGAGCATCACCTGTTTGCTAATATGGACTAATGTCTGTAGTGTAACCACCTATAGCTTGCTAAATAAAAATACATTGTGTATATTTGCTGTCAAGGCAGAGTGTTTTGAGGGTTGATTGCCAGCAGGCTTATTGATATGTAAAGTGTCATGCAAGTTAAAGATTGCATATGAGTGTTCATACACCTGGCCGACAGTATGCAGCTACGTTGCTGTGGTGTGCTTGTCTCTGTTGTGTCCAGATGTGCCACAAGAAGTCTTACATAAACTTTTTTAAATGATGTCTTCGTTTAGACAAAAATTAACGATCTACTGTCTTTAAGTGTAAACGATCTAATGCTGGAACTCTGCTGTAAACATACTGCTTAAATGTACGATTGGGGTGAAATGAAAGAGTCATCAGCTAGCACAGTCAGAACCACTCACCGGTCCGCCAGCACATAGGGATGGGAGGTCTGCCACACCAAGGGACGGAACTTCATCACTGAGATGAAGCGGCCGAGGTTCTTCACCTCCTGAGTCTGATATTCACCGTACACCATGCCGGACAGGTAGAACAGCTTGGCCCCCTAGCAGGTTCAAATATAAAACTTTAATTACACATACTATCAAGGTAAATACAAATATCAGTGTACAAGATCCTGTATAAAGCAGCAGGGGTCATTCCAGTTCACTTGGATCCCGTTTGGTTTACCTGGTAGACCTCGGTCCAGAAGCGGTGTTTGAGGTTCTTCTTGGTCTTCCTTAGGACCTTGTTGTTCTTGAAGGAGTCCAGGTGAGTCAACACACCCATGATGCGAGGGAAGCCGTGCACCTGACAGATGTTCAGGAACTCAAAAGTCTCCATTTCAAAGCCAAAGCTGGCATCGATCAGCATCAGAACCTGCAGGGAAGGAACCATTCAGTTCAGTTAGAAAATTAAACTCCATCCAGCCCTTAGACTGTATTCTGGTCATGTTGTTGAGATAATTCCTAACAAACTCTGTTGGTTAGTGTCAACTCAGGGACATTTATTTTACAGTACATTTAGGGTTAACAAGCAAACAAGAACATTGAAAAACGTACCAGATCAGCTACTTTTGCGAGGTCGATCATTGTATTAATGTCGTTGTTACACTCCATGAAAGTGAGGCGACGCTTCTTTCCTGAGAATACAAGGAGAGAAATTATAAGCAAATACGGATGAATGTCTAATAGTGCAGAGATGGCTATAATTTAGATCAATTATTGCCCAATGTCTGATTTGACCACTATTTTTATGAAAAACAGACACACTAAACCGCTTTTTTTGATAATGTCAAGCCAAATATATTAAAAAAAACATGAGCTCTTTTTAATCATGAGGTAAAAGCTAATGGACATAGATTCAATTGTATTCATTCACAACAAGTATTTCATTAGAAAATGGTCAATAGCTAAGATATCTAAACAGCAGCAGGAAGTGGACCATGAATACATATCAATACTTGTATTCTTGACAGAAGTCTATTAATACTACACAGAATTGATATTTTATTGTAAGAACGTTTCAAATATTTGTATATATTTGTTGTTGTTTTTTTTGTTTCCTATTCATCTAATAGAAGTTTTCACATGCTTTGTATTTAAAGAAAACCCATGAAGATCTGCAGGAGGTGCTGCTGAGCTGATATGGAATGACCCATCTATTCAAGAAGAACTGGGTGCCAATCTCACCAGAGACGATGGTCACAGGTCCAACAATGTCCCCCAGCTTCTGCCGGGTGAAGTTTTTGATCAAGCAGCGGATCAGGGTGCTCTTTCCCACCTTGGGGGGTCCCATTACTACAATCACAACTGGAGGGGGTTCAAGGGGAGTCCGGTCTACCAGGGGGATGTGATGCTTTTTGGTCTTTATGTCCTGGGACCTAAAAAGATATACATGATAAGTAGTTCATTACTGTTTGCTTCATTTATCACATTTTTATTGGTGGGCCATGGGGCTGCACAATCAATTGCATTTTTCTCTAAATTACAATATGTGCACTATCCTTATTGCAAGGGCACATTATGAAACAATATCTTTATGTAGTATTGTGGAGCTACAGAGGAGTCACAGCCTACCAACTGTATTCTACAGACTGATTGAAAAATCATTGTTTGGTACAGATCCTCATAAAATAAATCACACTATTAAATAATAATTCTGAATAATATTTATCTGAATAAATATATTTTTAATAATGTTTCAATACACTTGAGTTGACCTGGTTATTTGGTCATTTTACTTGAATTCCTCCCTTGTTGGAAGTGGGCATTAAGAACAACAGAACTGCCATCAGCTCTGGATGCCGGCAGAGCGCAGACTGACCTGTGGAAGGTCTTGGCCATGCGTACAGCCGACTGCACAGCAAAGGCTTTGGGGTTGCGTTTGCGAGCATCTTCCTCTGTGGTTGGACCCTGCTTCTTCAGCTTCTTCCTCTCTGCCTTCGGCCCGCTGTGCTTCTGCTGATGTTTCCTCTGCTCCTTCTCTTTCCCCTCCATCCTGTCCACTGGAGCACACACAATTCCTCTTGGGTTTATCTTCACAGAGACTCAGGAGGGCAGATCCCAATGAAAATAACTGGGATTGATTCATGTATTCATTGTTGCTATGCACACTGAAATATACCAACGAGGACTTTAACAAGACAGTGAAAGTGCTGAGAAAAAGGGGGATGTAACTAAAAGCTACTATGTTTCCTGTGATGGAATCGGAAGTTGCTGCCTGGAGAGAAGGAGAAAAAACTGGTAACGGCAAGCGATATGGATAAACTCTCCATCACATAGCACTCTTACGGTTAGCAAGGTTTTTTCAGCTCAAGCACTTATCATGTAGAATGGGTAAAAAAAGAAAGGCCATTTGACTATTTGTCTGTGACTGACTGTTGTTCATCAAAAGTGTAATCTTTCCACGCCTAGTTGTCATGTTTGCACCTGAGAGAGGAGTTGCACAACTGCAACTGGAAATATATTAAGGTTCATCTTTGCATCAACCCCTCATAACGGTTTAAACTTAGTTCAGTTGAATTTGCATGATCTAGGTGGCACCTTATTGCAGCGGCACTCAGTGTGTTTATTGAGTTTTCATATTTATAACACCTTTTTGAGTATGTTTTACTGTTAATTTAAACCCATGTGCATTGCCTTGTAAACAGGGTGCTGTAACAAAACAACTTCCAAATTAGGGATCAATAAAGTATATCTAGTATTATCTTAGAATAGATTACACACAGTCATGGGCTACAGTCGAATAGTCCATTTAGCTTAGGAACCTTCCTAACGGAGTGAAATGACCCGGAAGTCCCTCACTGGCAGCCATGATAAGTGCCGTTTGAATTCTCTAGTCTAGATGATAGGAAAGGAGGTTTCAAACTTCCTTTAGCTTAGGAACCACTGGACCTCCCTCACCGAAAGGAGAGGAGAAAATGCTGCCCCACAATGCCTTGCAGCCGCAGCATTTGCAGTCACACAACAGTCGGCCGTTCACGGAAACAACCGATTATGACGGAGATATTATATCTTGAAAGTTACGGTGCTTATTAAGCACTTTAAAACATATGTGGTAAGTTGCCAAAGTGCTTTGCTTTGAACGTTCATCAATATTATAATCAAAAAGAGAAATATGAACATTCGTTTTTACTGAAATTATCAAATAAAGTCAACATTTCACTGAGCTGTGTGGGGGTTGTTCAACTTTTAAAAGATGTTTGAATGGTGATATACGCAGTGATAGATGTTAAGGACTAACGTTTATAATAAATACATTTGTATTTATTTTAAGATCTTTTCATAAAATCATTGGGATAATTTGTATTAATGTGGACCGGAGGGATATGGGGACGAGCATAAGTTTCACTTTCCTTTTTTATTTCAATTCCAACTTTGGTCATGAAGAATATGTTTCTCTGTTGTCCACGTTCATAAAGCATAAAGCAACAGCATCAGAGCACGGTGCAGAGTCTCTAGATGAGTTTACAGTAGTCCCTCGTTCTTATTAAACATCCATGTTGTAGTCCGCTGTATAGAAAACTGTAGTTTCCCCACAGCAGCAGACGCACATTCATGACGTCCGCTGGCGCATCATAAACACGTCGGATAGTGAAAGTGCAGTCGGATTCTCTAAAAGTACCGCAGTCTCTTCTCCTAAGTCCTTTTGGATTCTCCTATCCACTATCCCTTAACCCCGTGACGTTTCACTCAGAGGTCAAGGAATAGACAATAGGGTTAGAAATTAGGGGCTGATGTTTGGACTATTCGACTGCAGCCATGATTTGTGTGTAAGAGCATGATCAGTTTGGCACATGTTATAGCAGAGAATGTTGTACAACATGCTTTGGCAATACTCTGTTTTCGATATGGTCATGCCAATAAAGCTCCTTTGAATTTGAATGTTGACATGTAGTGTTAAAGCATTTAAGTGACGAGAACACTGAAAAGGCGCCTGATTCACCTTTTTCTTCCTCAGTGACATATGATACAACTAACCACATACTAACAATAAAACAGTACCCTGTATCGTAACTTAAGACAACTAAAACATAAAAACAACTGAATATATTTGGTTTGTGTTACTGGCACACAAATATGATGCAATAGCAAAATCTCTCATAAAGGTAATTAGGTTAAATCCATGTTCACCATTACACCAACAAGCACATGAGCTTCGTGTTATCTCAGTGTGAGCTTCAGGAACGAGGCTATGTGTGTGTGTAGCAGTGAAGCTAAAGCTAGCTTCACATATCTGGTAAATGTTTGGGAAATAATAATTCATTAGTCGCAATACCTGCAGATAAAGCTGTTGTAGTCCAGTCAGAGTTAGTTTTCTTCACTTCTCACGTGTGTTTGCATCCCCGACCCGGAAGCGAACCAAGGCGTCACTTTCCATTAAACCGGGTGGAAACACAATGCTGAAAGGTTCCGCCCTGTGGAACAGACAACTGATTCAGAAATCAGAATAACGTGGCCTTTGCTTCACGAATGATGAAAAAGGATACATCTCTGTTCAAATTTGAATTACATTTGCCTTTCTTTTTGTATTATAGACTAGGCAGAATTTCAGAAAGTGTGCTTATTTAAAGTGCGGAAGGAATTTTGTGTTTATTTATGTTATACAACATTTCTAGGTGTATTAATGCCATTTAAGCCAAAATTAAATAAATACATAAATAATTAAATAAATACATATATATATATATATAAATATGCCTATGAAATAAATTCTGAAATAAATAAATGAGGCAATAAATATGTATACATGTACATTTAAATACACATTTATTTATTTCATGAGACTTTTATTTCATAATGACACATTTATTTATTTCAAGAGACTTGTATTTCATAATGACACATTTATCTATTTCAAGAGAATCGTATTTCATAATGACATATTTATTTATTTCAGATGACTTGTATTTCATAATGACGCATTTATTTATTTCAAGGTGACTTGTATTTCATGATGAGACATTTCATGATGAGACATTTCCATTCCTTATATGCAAATGAACGGGGCGTGGTTAGCTCACAGATCCAGAGACCCAGACCAAAGCAACAGCACCACAACATTGACACTAACTGGTTCTTCTCTGGTCCGCCCAATGCTGCTCTTCTGAGAGCAACCGCTCTGACAGCTCTCTCTAGTCTCTACTGGGAAACAGCTAAAAGTCCTTCTGGAGGTAAGCAACGCTACACAATTACACCCAGTCTGAGAGTAAAATATTTCTCGAAGGTTCGTTTTGCTTTCTTACAACGTTAAGTTAATGTTAACGTAACCTTAAAGTTTGCTAGGAGGCTATTGTTACGAGCTAGCTGTCTTAGCTAACAACAGTTAGCAGCTAACGTTTTCTGCAGTTTGTGTTGT